CCGTCTCCCCCCGCCTGCCCGCCCCCGCCACATCACCTATCTGTGCAGAACATCTCAGGGGGTTAAAGTTCCAGCAAGTCAGAGAGAGAAGCCAGGCCATTAACCCCTTCTACGCAAGACCCATGTTCACACGCTGCATGGAGTCCATAGGCGTCAGGACACCCCCCACCCAAGACCATTCCTGCCCCACAACACCTGGACTACAGTATGACCAACGTCCCCCAAGACCATTCCTGCCCCACAACACCTGGACTACAGTATGACCAACGTCCCCCAAGACCATTCCTGCCCCACAACACCTGGACTACAGTATGACCAACGTCCCCCAAGACCATTCCTGCCCCACAACACCTGGACTACAGTATGACCAGCACCTTCACCCCATTCCCTCTCAAAATATCTGGGACTATCTACTCCAATCTGCCCCAACACCCCACAGAATGACCAGCTTCCCCAAGACCATACCCGCCCCACAACAACCCTTGGACTTCAGTATGCCCCCCCTCCACCAAGATCATATCTGCTCCGCAAGAGTCCAGCAACTCAACACCTGAACCATGTTACGCTTGGATGCCACCCGTGACTGACCTCCTGCCAATACCCCCGGGGTATCAGGTCCAAAACCCATCTCCAACTGCACAGTCCAGACCCCCCAAATCTAAACACAACATCATACAACAGGCCTCCACCACGCCTGACCACATACATGTCATGCCACCTTCCAACATGACATCTGTACCTACAGGGCACCCCAAATATTCCTGGGCTACCTGCCCATCCCCCACACACTACCCCCCCACCTATGGCATGCTACCCCGTCTACTGCTTAGACCACCTACCCTCAATGACAGCCCACCTCTACCATACAGCTGCCCCCCTACACCCATCACAGCGTCTGGCCCATCTACCACAATGACAACCCTCTCCACCATATTGCCTCAGTACTGCACTTGGCCCATCGGCCGATCATTATACCTGATCCACCTAATACAACGACACCCTCCCCCATCACCACAAAATCTGCCCTTCATTTCACCCCCAGCACATTGCCGCACTGCCCCCCTCCTTTCTCACCCCGTATCCCATGGTGCTGTGTATACCGAGCCTCCTCTTGTAGCGGGACCGCACTGCACCTCCGACTACTGAGAGCCGATTTCCCTTCAACCTTATATACCGCCCGCCTGCAGCCTGCGTCACCACCTGACGTCACCGTCTCCAGGATACCCGCTCCGCCCCTCTCTCCCCGCCTTCCTCCTTCTCCCTCAGCGGGCACGCGGTGTGGGTACAGAAGTCCTCTGTGCGCGCTCCCGTCAGCCCATCACGGCTTTAGTTCTGAGAAAAAACGACCCCAGGGACCCCCCTATTGTTTATAACTACCCCAGGGACCCCCATATTGTATATAAATACCCCAGGGATCCCCATATTGTATACAACAACCACAGGGACTCCCCACATTGTATATAACTATCCCAGAGACCCCCATATTGTATATAAATACCCCAGAGACCCCCATATTGTATATAACTACCCCAGGGACCCCCATATTGTATATAAATACCCCAGGGATCCCCATATTGTATACAACAACCACCGGGACCCCCCACATTGTATATAACTATCCCAGAGACCCCCATATTGTATATAAATACCCCAGAGACCCCCATATTGTATATAACTACCCCAGGGACCCCCATATTGTATATAAATACCCCAGGGATCCCCATATTGTATACAACCACAGGGACTCCCCATATTGTATATAACTACCTCGGGACCCCCATATTGTATAAAACTACACCAGGGACCCCCATATTGTATATAACTACCCCAGGGACCTCCCATATTGTACACAACTACCCCAGAGACCCCCCATACCATACACAACTACCCCAGAGATCCCCATACTGTACACAACTACCCCAGAGACCCCCATACTGTACACAACTACCCCAGAGACCCCCATATTGTAGACAACTACCCCAGAGACCTTCCATACCATAGACAACTACCCCAGAGACCCCCATATTGTACACAACTACCCCAGAGACCCCGTACCATACACAACTACCCCAGAGACCGCCAATACCGTACACAACTACCCCAGAGACACCCATATTGTACACAACTACCCCAGAGACCCCGTACCATACACAACTACCCCAGAGACCGCCAATACCGTACACAACTACCCCAGAGACACCCATATTGTACACAACTACCCCAGAGACCCCGTACCATACACAACTACCCCAGAGACCGCCAATACCGTACACAACTACCCCAGAGACACCCATATTGTACACAACTACCCCAGAGACCCCGTACCATACACAACTACCCCAGAGACCGCCAATACCGTACACAACTACCCCAGAGACACCCATATTGTACACAACTACCCCAGAGACCCCGTACCATACACAACTACCCCAGAGACCGCCAATACCGTACACAACTACCCCAGAGACACCCATATTGTACACAACTACCCCAGAGACCCCGTACCATACACAACTACCCCAGAGACCGCCAATACCGTACACAACTACCCCAGAGACACCCATATTGTACACAACTACCCCAGAGACCCCGTACCATACACAACTACCCCAGAGACCGCCAATACCGTACACAACTACCCCAGAGACACCCATATTGTACACAACTACCCCAGAGACCCCGACTCTATAACTCTCCTCTCCTGATATACTCTGCTCTGCTGGAGGCCTCCGCTCCTTCCTCTATAACTCTCCTCTCCTGAAATACTCTGCTCTGCTGGAGGACTCTGCTCCTTCCTCTATAACTCTGCTCTCCTGATATACTCTGCTCTGCTGCTATGAGCACTTCTCTGACCAGCTCCTAACACATAACACCTGCAATATCCAGGAAGCAGCACACAGACATGGTAGAGCTGCAATAGCATCATGTATATGTTACATTTCTAGTTTTACTACGACCCCTTAGTACACAACAAACAAGAAATGATCATTTACCAGAACACTCGGATACACCACGGGGTCTGAGAGGTATCCTTTAGATCCTCAGGATTCCAGTCTGTATGCCATCAGGCCTCATAGAAATGGCCCTGTATTAGGATGCCCCTGGCAGTAGTTGGTGGTTTTCCAGTGATGTCATTGAACATACATGTGTCCAGGACTAATGAAGTGAGCTGAGGCTCGGCTTAGCTGGTGGGAACCTGCAAAATTCTCCTTTTACTGAATTTCTGTGAATCCCCCAAGTCTTTTCACTTCCTCCCTAGAAGATGACTCTACCCTGGAGGGAATTCCTCGCCCTTTGTGATGATTCTATTGACACCTCGAGTGTGAGAAAACACGGTGGTAATGAAGATACGGATCGGTGTCAGGTGATATTTATAGCAAGACCCTCTGGGCTCGGCATGTGAACAGAGACATAACTCATGACTGGAAAGCGGACCTGTCACCCTTTACCTGTCAATGCCCTCCTGTCTATAACATGTCAGATAAAGATTAGTCTAATTACTGCAAAGAAGGCAGAGAGACTTTTCTGAAATCATTACCCTTCTCCACCAAAAAACGTCAACATTTTTTCTTTAAAGGAGAACTATGACGGGAGCGCTTTTCACTCACCTCATAGTTCTAGCCGACCTGTGACAATGAGACTGTCACAGGTCGGCTCAGTAGATCGGGAGGTGAGCGAACACATACCGGCGCTCGCTCACCTCTCGATCCTGTCACAGCTCTCTGCCGTGACAGGGGAGGGGCTGGATTCCCCCCTCCCCGCTCCGATCCGCCAGCGCTGACTGGCGGAACAGACGGGGGAAGGGCCGGGTACAGCTGGCTCGGCCTCCAGATAGGAGGAGCCAGCTGTCAGTCACGCAGCTGGGCGGATCCCGGCACAATTGTCGGGATCCGCTTCAGCTGCGGCGTCTCAGTATACCGCGAGCTGTAGCTCCCTATATACTGAGCCTAGGGTGACAGGAGGACGCTAGTTTGTGTCTTCCCGTTACCCTAAGCAGAACTATGGGGAAAAGCCTTAACCCCCATAGTTCTCCTTTAAACACTCTTTTTTTTATGAGGGCATACCTATAGTTCTAGCAGACCAAGTGGCTGTTTTGCGGCCCTCAGCTACAGGAGGTCCACACCTCTGCCTCCATTATGAATGTTGCAGTGCCCTTTAGGACTTAATTTTGGATAATGTCTAATGAATACACAAGTGTTTGTTAAGTATATGGTCAAAGTCTTTGGATGTCTGACCATCACACCTATATGAGATTGTTGGACATCCCATGGCAAAGCCATGACCATTAATATGGAGTTACTCCCCTATTTGTGGCTATAGCAGCCCCCCACTCTTCTGGGAAGGCTTTCCACAAGAAATGTATGAAGTGTGTTTGTTGGAATTAGTTTCCATTCAGGCAAAAAAAAAAAAACCAGAGAATGAGAAGACCTGGCTCTACAATTCATACCAATGGTGTTCAGTAGAGTTGAGGTCAGGGCTCTGTGCAGGACACTTCAGTCCCTTTCTCGATACCAAACTGGTCAAACCATGTCTTTGTGGAGCTGGCTTTGTACACAGGGAACAGTCATGGTGGAACAGAAAAGGGTCTTCACCAAACTGGTCACACCATGTCCTTATGGAGCTGGCTTTGTACACAGGGAACAGTCATAGTGGAACAGAAAAGGGTCTTCACCAAACTGGTCACACCATGTCTTTATGGAGCTGGCTTTGTACACAGGGAACAGTCATAGTGGAACAGAAAAGGGTCTTCACCAAACTGGTCACACCATGTCTTTATGGAGCTGGCTTTGTACACAGGGGACAGTCATGGTGGAACAGAAAAGGGTCTTCACCAAACTGGTCACACCATGTCTTTATGGAGCTGGCTTTGTACACAGGGAACAGTCATGGTGGAACAGAAAAGGGTCTTCACCAAACTGTGACCAAAGGCTGGAAGAGCGCAATTGTCTATAATGTCTTTGTATGCTGTAGTATGAAACGTACCTTTTACTGGGAACACCTGAACATTTTAGGAGGGGTGTCTACATTTGTTTGGCCATATAGTGAATATTGTATACTGTTGTTCAGCAGTTTTTGAGCAAAAGTGCTGACTGAACTTGGATCATAGCCACTAGAGTGGAACTCTACAAATCCACATTTAAAACCCAATCATGGAAATACGCACGGTTGACAAGTGGAAGGGACATACAGTATATTACGAAACAATTCAGGTAAAGCTAACAGTGGTAATTAACAGTCTGTACTCGTATGCTAGGATTTGCCTTCAAGCCAGAAGCTGAAGAGGTCAGGTGACAAGGTCAACAATGGCAGCACCTCTATTATCCCCATGGTTATCTCTCTCCCTTGAAATAATTATTGTGCTTAGCTAAATTTTGGTCGACAATATAACAATACATTTTGCAAGTGCTGATCTGCTGCTTTAACATTAATCAAGCAATAAAGATTACAATTACACTATAATAGACTCCATATAATGGGCTGCTTAGCAATCTTTCAGCTGTGCCATTATTAAATAACAACCACATGAAAACATTTATCAGGAACAGCGTAAACTGGGAGCTTCGTCATTTACTCCTGAGTCAGAAGATATAGTCCCCCTGTAATGTAAGCCCTGCAAGGGATTCAGTTTGGGGAGCGAAGATCCCCCCCCATGTCTTTGTCCTGGAGCTTCCAGCCACACAGTATTTATGATATGGAGATTCTATATACCGCGTTTCCCCGAAAGTAATACCTACCCTGAAAATAAGACCTAGTTCGGTGGTAGGTCTTATATTACAGACATCCCTGAAGATAGCGCTAGGTCTTACCTTCGGTAATTACATTTTACATGAGAAGAGCGGCCGCAGCTCCCTCCCGCCCCCTCGCCCGCCCACCTGTCTGTTGCTCTCTGGATGTGGCTCTCTGGATGGCATCAGAGCGGAGAGGCAGCCCCCTCCCGCCCCCCTGCCAGACACCCCCCCCGCCTGCACGCATGCCCGCCCACCTGTTTGTGGCTCCCTGGACAGCAGAGCAGACAGCTGCAGCCAGGTAAGACATCCCCCGAAAATAAGACCTAGTGTCTTTTTTCATGAAAAAATTAAAATAAGACACCGTCTTATTTTCGTGGAAACACGGTAGTACCGGATCATTCTTTGTCCCTGTGCTCTGATAATAAGTATTCTACTAGTTACA